CGAATGAACCAAGTGGCATCCCAAGGCAGCATGGATTTGAGCTGCTTGTTCGCAGGATGCAGAGCGCATCCTCAAGAGCCTGCACCATATGTTCAGGCCAGGATCACCGAGCCGCGACATGCAGCTGGACTGGTGAAGCAGGTGCATGTGACTAGTGCAAACGGACATCTGCAATTACAGTATATTACAAGGATCATCCTTGACAAACTCTTGCAGTCCTGGTGATTTGGGCTGCCGCTCAACCTCAGGATTTGGTAGTACGGCAATACGGACGCGGCATAGCGAGAGCTCAGGAAAGCCAGAAAAGACCAGGCAGCCCTGCACTGTAGCGCGTAGCTAAAGCCAAGTGGATGTCAGTCCACTTTTTTCGTTTGTCGGAGTGAAGACAACCCTCAAGAATAACAGCAATTACTAACAGTGTCTTAACGTTGCATCTCACCCGTGTTCATACAAGTGTTGGTTTGGTGGCTCGCCCCATGGCCCCGCTGGAGTGGTGGAGGGAGGAGGGTACGCTGCAGAAGCTGCTGGAGGATTGGGGCAGCAAACTTCGGGCAGCTGAAGATGAAGAGATCGAATATTTTTTGAAGAGACAGGAGAAGCTCAAAGAGGAGAGTAGCCATGATGGCCATGATGGAAATGGTGGCCATGGTGATAACCATGAAGTGACTGGGAAGATGGACCCGCAGATTGGGAAGGAGAAGACGGAGACGAATGAGGAGACGGCGGCGCGTGAGGGCAAAGACGGCCAACTGCAGTCCGAACAGGCACAACAGGTCCAAAAAGATTCTCACAAACTAGATGCAAACGAAGCAGAGAGCAAGGACGAGGAACAAGAAACAAGACGAGAGGTAATGGAGGAGAAAAACTCAGAGCAGGTAGAAAAGAAAGAGGGGAAGGAAGCTGAGAAGCCACAGCCAGGAGCAGACGGGGCATCAACCCCTGTGCCCCCACCTGTCGAAGAAGCAAAGCAGCAGTCAAAGCCTGAGGCTTTGTCTGAGACTGAGGAGGCCAGCGCATCCACTCCTTCTGGCATTTCAGCTGCTCCAATCGTGCAGTCTGCGACGTCTGAAGAACAGTTGAAGACAACTACAGCAGCAGAGCCAGCAGAGGGAGACAAAGCCAAGCCCGACGAAAAGCCTCCAGAAAAGGAAAAGGAAGGAGAGCACAAGCCTCCCTTGGATCCTGAAGCTGTGCGCGCCGCAGCGCAGAAAGCCGCAGATGTTTTGAGTCAACTGCTGCAGAAGCCCCTAGAGTACGAAGTCCAGGAGGCTTTGCCTACCTACTCTGAGCCTGATCCTTCGTCAAAAGAGATTCGCACCCTTGCTCGAGGGCAGCGCTTGTTTGGCTATCCCGGAGGAGGTTGGCTACGGCTTCAGCCACAGGCTGGTATGAGTGGCTGGGCCCATATTGGTTGCAGCTTGGCCCTCACATGCCTCTTGCCAACGATTCGTGCCAGATACCTTGAAGCCATCGATGTTGCTTGGCCAGGTTTTGGTGGTCTGCTGAAGCCTGGCGTGAAGGCCCGGCGGTGTTCACCTGGTGGCACGTTTTCTCCGCCATCACCTTCCATTTGGGCCATCATGTTTGTTTGAGTTCTGAGAGGATTCTAGGTCCTCTTCAGTGTACAGGGTTCTTGATGGTCTTCATTTCACCTTCCTTCATGTGATTTTCAGGTGGTCTACATTGTCGAGTGGAGATGCCGGAAGAGTGGAGCTTCTGGACATGCTGTGTGCCACAAAGCCCATGAGGTGGTGTCCAACATGCCACCGGGGAAGCCCTTGGAACTCCACGTGGCTGTACGCCTTCGTGCACCCTTGACACCCGGCGTGGATGCGGCAGCCGAAGTGCGCTTCGCAGGGCCTTGGGTCGAAGCACAGACCTTGAACCCCATGGAGGGTGAAGATGATGAGGACGCAGAGGCTTCACTAGATCCCTTTGGTACTGCTCGTGCTGGGTGCCTAGATTGTGCTTGCTATGGCTTCTTCTGGAGACCGGGGCTGGAGGAGAAGGCAGAGTCAGATCAAGAACCGGACCGAGTTGGGTTGAATGCTGATCCTGATACGATCAAATGCATTCGATGTGGAGACCCCTTCGCCACCCATACCAGGGCAGGCACGCCGGCGGCTGAGAAGTTGTTGGACAGTCGTCAAGCCAGGAAGTTCCTCGTGGCACATACACGTGTCTTTGTGCGAAGCAAGCGTAGCGTTTCAGGAGACGCCATCGGTGCAGTGAGGCAAGGCACGGAGATCTCCGGGTGCTGCGAGGGGCGTTGGCTGCATTTGACCAGGGAGTGCGCACAGGCGGTGAATGTCATGCCAAAAGCAAGCATGAATTCACACTCGAGATACGTTGATGCCTGGGTACTCATGGATGGCAGTCGCATGGGCATTGCCTCTGACCTGCTTGTGCCAGAGGAGCTTGCACCGGCTGAACTTCGAGAGCGTGCTCAACAGGAGGCTGAAGAACGGCAGAAGAAACGCGAGGCAGCTAAACGCACTCAAGAGAAGAAGGCCGTTGCCAAAGCAAAGGGCAAGGAGGTCAAGGAAACTGTTCCAGATAGTGAGGACGAGGGCCCAACCTAAAGGTGGTGATATTTATGTTGGCCCCCAAAGGAGAACAAGATCAAACAAACATATTTTCTATGTTTCTTGAAGCTTGGATTGATTCCCGGAGGATGAGCCTGATGCAGTGCGACTCCGCGAGCCCCTGCAAGGATTAATGGAGGTGTTGTACACCAAACCTGTGGACTATTTGATCTTAAAGTCTCAACTCCCTATCCATCGGCGACCTTCCACCAGCTCCCGCACTTTGGGTCATTTGAAGCGTGGGCAGATCATCAGTGGATGGCCACAGGAATCATGGCTGCTCTTAGCTGAAAATGCCAGCTCACCCAAGGCTGCGACTGCCGGGTGGATCCTCATCGATGCCACCCCTTTGGGCCTTGGCTTGCAGGCGCAGGCGCAATTTCCAGTGCCCAAGGAGGTGCGGCCCTTTTCCGAGGCAGTGGTGCTCGAATGGAGCAAATTCCCTGCAAGGCACGTGGAATATCAGGTGGGCAGTGGCCAAATCCTTCTCTAGAAGCTTGAGAGGGGACTCAATCATCCCAGCGTTTTCGTTTAGGATTACCCTACACGTATCCGCGATGCTGACCTCAGGTGGAGTGGGCCGACGAGTCTGAGAAGGATCAAATCAACGTGGCCGTCCAAAGAGAAACCATGACGATGGTGCGTGTCCATGAGCTGCCTTCCGACTCCCAGTTGACCTTCCGTTTAACTGCCAAGGTTTACACCGGTCCACCGGATCAAGGGGGTGAAGTCTTTGCTGAAGCAGCTGGACCCTGGGAAGAGGCAGAAACGGGAGCTACAATCGAGAAGTTAGAGGAAGGCAACCTTTGCACCTAGGCATACCTAGGCAATCTTTTTGGTTTGACACTGGGTCCAGATGGATGCCGGTTCTTGCCACATTTTCTTTATTGATTGATGTTGATGTTGGCCCACTGCTTTTCTATTTGTAAAGGCTGACCGAGACTGCCCCCCCTCATGGCCAAGTTTGCTAAAGTGGAAAGCTTGAGGCGTTGACCCTTTGGCAAATCTTCGTGGCCGCTGTATGGATTGCTCCTGCCATGGCTTCGTCCTTGCTGAGTATGGGGAGCGCCCCCGCACTGGCGACACTCTGGAGGAGGTCTCCTGCCGCCGTTGCAGCTGCTCATGTGTGAGACATTTTATTATAGGAGCCTCGGCTTGGTCCTAGAATGCCAAAGTACATGCTCACTGCATGACGGTAGGAGTCCTAGGAGTCTGGCACAGGCGTTTCTGTGCATTTCGAGACGGTTCAATAAGAGTTTGGGACCCTTGAGTTCATTTAAGCACAGTAGCAGTGGCAGTCAACAGATGTCAGCAGGGTGAAACTCTATACTCTAGCCGGTCCTGTGCCCAGGAGAGTACCACTACCGCAATCCAGCATCAGCAAACATCAAGCGACCACCAGTCGAGGCACCAAAAGCACTTCCGCCGCCCAAAGAGGAGGTGCGGCCAAGCACATGGCGTGTTGAGGATGGGGAAGGAAACATTCATTTTGTTCTCGACAAGGTTGGTGAGGCCCAGACTTTGTACGAAACTTTGGGTGTGAGTGGGGATGCTGATCGGGCCGTTATCCGCTCTGCCTATCGGCAAGTATCCTTGAGCATCCATCCGGACAAGGTTGGGCACTTTGATGATTTTGACCTTCAGAAGCAGGCTGAGAATGCCTTCAAGGTCGTTTCCTCTGCCTATGAGATTTTGAATGATGATAAGCGCCGTGCCGAGTACGATCGCAAGCTGCGATTAACCGGTGCCACGTTCACAAGCCGCTCTGGTGGGCGCTTTAACCTCACAAATATCGCATTCCTCAAGAAGTTCCTTAGCAAGGAGAAGGGTGGATTTGGATGGGACCTCTCTGCCAAGCCTCCTGGAGACTGGGAGGAACAAGCACCTGGAGTTTATGTTCGCGGCAGTGGCAAGCCCAAGGAGTCTGAAGAACCAACTCAAGCAAGCTAAAATGCAACAAAAGGAGCCACGAGTGCTTGTGTTGCCTGGGAGTTAAGCGATGCGGTTAGAAAGCTTCACTGATAGTGAATCTCGCATAAACTTGGCACACTGATTGACCGCATTCATTCATGCATTCATGATTCATGATCCATTAAACACATCTCAGCCTTTGCCACAGGCTTCAGCATTGGGCATCTCGTTCAATCGAAGTGCATGCCTGCTCTAGCCACAAGGGAACTGGGCTCAGCAATTTATCAGCTCAGTTTTGATAGTTTTGGATGATTGGTGGCCAGCTTTGTTGGACGGCCCGCCTCAATAAGGTCCGATGAATTCCTTCTTGATCCCAAGCAGCAACCGCGAAGGAAAAGGTGCGTTTGACTCGCTTGACAGACCTCCACAGTGTCCACCCTTGTGGACACCCGAGAAGACCCGCAGGTTGCACGTGTATCATGTTTGAGCAGAAATCCATCTGAGGCTGCAAACACAGCAGCAGCTCATGACCGCACTGACACAAGGCGACACACATTTCAATAGGGCTATGAAGCAATGAACATGTCGTTGATATATGTATATATATATATTGCCGTCAGTTCTTATCATTTCAAGAGTGCTTTGCTATAAATGACTATCATCATGATCCCCAGCTGATGCCAGCTGTGCTTTTTCTTTCCTTTGCGGCTTGGGAGCCAGTTTGAGGCTCACCTTCCATTGGAAATCCTCAATTCGCTGAGCCACGAGCCAAGCCATTTTAAAGTTTTTGTTTTGGCTGGCTCGGCCATGAATCGGTCGGGAAGCTGTACCAAGGCATCGACCAATTACACGTGCACACTTGTAACATGTAGATCTCCAGCATGTAGTTGCTGACTATGCTCACTTGTGCTGTGACATAGCGCCCGGGACAGTTCAGCAAGGTGAGCGATGTGGGAGTTGGAGCACACTGGGCAAAGCTACTCCCCCCAATTCGTCCCCAAACATCCAAAATGTAGCATACCAAGAAGCCTAAGGCCGCCGATGCCACAGTGTGAGCCTCCGCTGTTGGCACAGAGGCCATGTTTTCGTTGTTTCTGAGCGAGAGAGATGGTTTTATTTTGAAACCTCATCGTGTCTCACATGGGCCCAGTGCGAGTCCGACAGGAATGTGCTTGCAGCTGCGCTGGAAGTGCTTGCTGCTCGAGGTGTTTCAGGCGAGCCAGATTTGTTTCAAGTAGGTCAATGCCCTGGTGGCATAAATAAGGCAAATTGAATTTGTGATTTTGTGGCTTCCACACGTTCCACACTTTGGCCGCTGGAGTTCATGGCGGCATTGGTCTCGCAGGAAATCCGAGTGCAGAGGCAACTCCTCGAACGCACGGACGCTCAAGGGTGGAATTGTTCGAAGATTGAATCAATATGAATCTAATCAATCATTTGGGATGATTGGGGTCAAGTCTTTTTCAAGCTATTTAACCATATTGAACCGCAGCCGCCCAAACTTGTCCAACTGCATTTTGTCATGGTCGAATCCGCAGCGGAGCTGAGGCTTGACATGGTGAGCCGAGGGCCAAGCACCCTAAGTGCCTGGGCTGATCAATGGTGCCAAGGACATCAATTTTCCGCATGTTTGTTTCCCTCTCGACTGATCGCCACTCTTCCGAGGCCTAGGCTCTGGTGGAAGTGCAGCCACTCAAAGAGATCGATAGGCGATAGGGATCCCATCGGCCAGACAGGCCCAAATTTATACAGCGGAGGTCCACCCCAATGAGTGGAGCAGTGCCGTTCAGGAGTTTTTTCAATGGAAGAGCTGGGTTACAAACATGGGAGCAATGATCACCAGTTGCCTGTTTTTGACGAACGGCCGCCCAGCCACAGAGGGTTTGTGCCCAATTTGGGGAAATTCTGAATTCCTGACATCCAGGCAGTTCCTGGACAGCTTAGTGCACGAGATGCCCCAGAGACTGACCTCCAGTAGCATTGCCTGGGTCCATGAGTCCTTCCCATGCTTCCATCTTGCACTTTTGAATGTGCTCGGCGCAAAAGCTGGGCCGTGCGGCAATTTTCCCAGCCGAACGAGCTACACAAGGCTGTGGCTTGAAACAGGCTTTGGAGTGGTTTATATATGCGGCACAGTTTCTTGGCGCAGGCGGCACCTAGGTGACTGACCGAAGAGGTTTGAGCTTCTTGCTGCTTGCTGCTTGTCTGAGCTCGCTTGAGGCGAGCAACCAGAATTTCAAATTTGATTATTGTTTATTTGTAGATATTTGTAGTGCACTTGCTAAAGTGGGGCAATCCTTTCCTTTGCTCACAAAGTCTCAACATTTCTGCCCCGAGTATTGGTCAGTTCTTGCATTTTATGGGGAAAGGATGAAAGGGTTGTCAGCCTCCACGGACGTCCCGCATATGGGACGTGACTTTGACAGAGCTGACGAGGGGTTCAAGCCTGTCAAGTTGCAAGTGGCCGGTCATCTGGCAACGCAGGTGGAGGATAGTGCTGATAGTCTCGTATCCCAGGATCCAATACCTGAATATGTATGAAGTGTATGAAGTGCATGAAGGGAACTGTGTAGTCCAATGATTTTGGCCTGCAGGAGTAGTGCTTAGAGCACTGTGGAAGACATGGTGCAAGTGTAAAGATTTCTGGCTCACATCTGGCGCACAAACAAACACTTGGCACACTCAGTTTGCACATCAATATCAACGGTTTGATGCTCAGGGGCTTGGTGCTTGAGCCGAGTTCGGCTCACCGATTTGTAGAGATTGGCCACCCTGTCAGAGCGTTTGTGAGCTGTGGGCACCCTGTCAGGGCACCCTGTCAGGGCCGGCCAAGCGTGGCCTCTGACCCGGACCCTGTCCAGTGTTTGCAGATCAAAAGCCGGTCAGACCCTCTCCATGTCGCATCATTGGATCATGTTTCAGGACACACTGCTGGAGCAAGCCTACAGGGCTGACATTGCAATCGCCATGGTCTTGCGAAAAGGTCTTGCGACTTTTGCATGGCGCCATGGTCAGGTGTCGACCCTCAGTGCCTCAGATCTACCCGGTGGCTGCAAGGTCGGTGTCGTGAAGGCGGTGTGGTCGGCATCGTATCAATCTTCTACCCGTCCTACCCATTGTCAATCTTGAGCATCATTGTTATTCCATGTCATTCCCTTTGAAGATTTTGTCACTGCAGCTATGACAGCTACTGCTGCTTTTGCTCAGGAGGAGTGATGGCGCAGAGCATTTGCTACACTGCCGGGATGCGCTTGGCAGGTTCATGTCAAGGCCTTTCTTAGGTCTTGGTGAAAATGCATGAAAATGCCTTGTTGAGAGCTTTAGAATCGACATGTCAGAGCCTTTATTGTGGGACAGACTCAGGGCGTTTCATCGATCTGGGGCGTCCGCTCGGTGAGAGCACTCCCCGAAAAGCAGAGACAGAGTGGTGTCACCACTCTGACAAAGACACGCGCAATACGGAAAAGGAGTGCGCAAAGCACGATCGGACCACGTTTGTCCATTGGCCGCCGCTGCTCAATTCAATGTGCGGTCGCTGTTTGTATCTTTTTGTCGCTCGCCTGGATTTCCTGAACACAGCTGCATATAGACTCAAAGATATGGCAAGTGTCAACAAGAACTGAGAGACATAGCTTCCTCAAATGTGCTGCCAAGATGAGTACTGTACAATTCAGATCAAGGACCCTACCTACCTGCACAACTTCTCTCAAAGGCAAACTGCCCCCTTCCATACCAACGTAGCTTCAGTGTAGGTTCGCGCCTGCAGTGACGCGCCAAAGAGAGAAGACGTGCCGACAGATAGGATATCTGTGCACAGCAATGAAAGCAGAATGCTGGAGGAGGCTGCAGGCTTGTGCAGCGACTTCTCGCTACATTGTGTTGTGTCATGTAAGGTGTGCACATCAAGCCACATCAGTGGCTTGCACTTAGTTGAGTTTGCTAGATAGCAGCAAGTTACGGCAGCTGATTCCAATATGCTTACAGCATATATGAACCGTTATATATTCTTTATCCGCAAAATAGAGTGCAGCTTCTACGGACTTTTGATATTTTTGGATTGGAGCACTTTGTAGCGGGGGAGTGCCTCAGCAGGCATTATTCAGATGTCATGTGTGGGTGAGGTGCCGGGGCGGCATTTGTGCGCTTTGCTTTAGCCCAGCGGGGTGGGCCTGTCCATGAGGCCAGGATCCAATCTGGCAGCTGTGCTTGAAACTTTATACAGCACTTTGGAAGCCACTTATGACCACAGTAATGTGGGCTCAGGTGGTGATTCGTGCTGGTGAGGCTGGCCACCTGCTGAGATGGTTGCTCGAGCCTTGTTTGTGACATCCGAGGTTGCATTCCTGGGACGTGCGCCCAAAGCTTGTGTTGTGATCCAGGATTCTAGCCAGGATCTTATTGGGCAATGCCATCTCCTGGCAGTTCAGGCTCCAACACATTCCGTTCATTTTTTCTTCAAGTACGTCGTACGTTCTGGCGCAAGTAGAAATGGATGAAGCCACACCACCTTCAATGGAAGATAAGCAAGGTAGATCAAAATGCATGGCTGGTGGCTGGTGGCCGCTGCAGCTCAAAGTAGATAGGACAGTTGCACGCTGAAGCCTTGAAAGGCGCCTGGTGCTCAGGAGGCTACTGTAGCGAAACTATGGCTCGGATAGAAGCATTCCTCTGACGGTATCCTTTGCAAGACTTTCCCAGAGGAAGCATGGGCGCACTTATATAATTAAAGTCTGCACCCTTACACCTTGCGGGGCTGGAGTTTTTACATGACTTGCATCACCTGGAGGTTCATGGCTGAGATTTCGGCACCAAACCACCTTGAGGCAGCAACTTCCTCAAAGCCGTTCCATGCGCGCCTATCGGACACTCACTAGAACTAGACTCACTTTTTGACTTTTTTGGGGATTCCTTGCCAGGCGGGCTCATTTTTGGGATACGCGGTCCTCTTTGGGAGACCTAGGGCGACAGGGTTTTGTGAAGCACAGCAGGTGACAGAGACTTCCTCGTCCAGCCAGCTTGGGGGCGAGGCACGGTGTTCCAATGCTGCATGGCAACTGGCTGTTTGCGACAACTCCCGTTTGCCACTCGGAAAAACGATGAATAGGCAGAGGCAAGTGAAGCCCCTGGTTTGCCGCGAAAGATTGTGCGCTTCTTCGGGAACATTGGACATCGCCACTCAGAAAGCAGTAAGTCTTCATCTTCCCCGGCTTTTGGGTACTGGGCGAAGTGTCCAGGCATTGTCGACAACATGAGCTTTGTCGGGGAGGTGCTTGTTGAGTTCCTGGAGTTGGACAAGCATCCGTGCCGCGGCACAGCATCTGCCAGAGATACTGTAATACTGAAGCGCGTGCGTGGCGGCGTGCTTCTGTGAAAGCTTCCCCCATTTCCCCCTAATGGCACCCACCAAAAGGAGATCCCGGATGATCCCTGCATACTTGTGAATTCTCCGCACAGCCGTCGCGGTCCTGCTAGGTATCATCGGGAGATGCAGGATTTGAAGAGGCAGCAGCGCAAAAAGAAGAAGGCATTGCAGCTGCAAGAGGAACAAAGACAAGCAAGAGAGGCGCCAAGACGAGGGATGCCCGCACCATTGTGATGCACTGGCATGGCATGCACAGGGTTTAATGATATCTCGCTACCCTCCCTTCCCTCAAGAGGAGCGCGACGATAAGGAGTACAAACATACCGACATCTTCATACATCTTTAGCTCCGTGTGGCTTTGGGGGCGACACGGAATATGAGTGCTGAGCCAGGCTGCTGAGATTGCGAGCTTGGAAGAAGCTCAGCAACCCACTGACAATCCGCAGTGACAGCCCATCACAAGTACAAGCACACTTTTCTTTGGATGCAGCAGCTAGATAGACGTAGCCACTGGCCAAAGTTCTTGTAAGGTATGAATCACCCTGGCACTTTTGTCACTTGTTCCAAGATAGGCGTTCCATGGCATTCCAGTATTCCATTTTTGCCGCACCGTGCCACGTTTCACCACAACGAGGTCCCAAGCCCTTGGGCCGAATTCAGGGCGAAAGGGGCCCACACGGGGCCCACACGATTTAGAGCCGAGTCTAGCGCAAGCGATGCGAAAGAGTGGTTTACACGGGGTTGGTGGACGAACAGTGTTGAACAGGTGTTTATATACGCCGTTTTAGGCAGGTGGCAGGACTGCCAAAGTTGCCAAAGGCACTGTTTGTGGCTTGGCTTGGCAGGTTTGTTGGTCCCAAGACTTGTAGCTGAAATTGGCCCTAGGCCCTAGTTGGAGTTTGAGCCAGTTCCCTTCATGTCTCCGAGGTGTTTCATCCCAGCATGTGGAGCTGTCATTTGGCCTGATCTCCGCAAAGAAGTCAGGGACCGAGAATCAGCATGTGGATGCTTCCCTGCAGACTCGAAGAAATTGCGCGACATAGCATGCCACATGACATAGGCTCTGCTCTGAGAGAATGAACCCAATTTTGACCTTCCTTCGAAGCCGATCAACTTACTTGCCCATTTGTGCGACCTCTGTTCACCTTAGACAAGGTCTCCAGAAAGGGCAGGCGAGCCATGTGTGCTGGCTCGTGACAGGCGAGGCCTCACATTGGTTTGAACCTTCCACGTCCAACTGTCAAGCTGCTCATTCTTCGCTTGGCAAGCTGTTTTGTTCAATGGTTTATGCACGTAAGATTGGAGAGCAGCCTGCCTCCTGCCTGCAGGTCGCAAAACGGCACTGGGCTCTGCAAGCAAGCTGCTCAGTTTTCATATCCACACAAGACTGCTGCTCACTGCGCTTGAAGGGGCAATGCAGACACACACACACACACATATATATATATATATACACCACTAATTGTATAACCTAGCCCTTTTGAATGTTGACAGCACTGCCCAATGTGGCTAAATTAAAGCCTGACTAGCCTGACTTAACCTGGCTTGCTTACACATTGTCTTTCTCCAGAAGGCTTCAGCTTCAGCCCAAGCTTGGCAGGCTGGGCCCCGATGGCCTGCCAGACTTGGCCAATATTTGGCGTCTCAGTGCCTTGACGGATGTGTTACTGTGTCGACAAATATAGATGCGGGGAGCCAAGAGAACGAGAAACCTAAGTGAACATCAGACAGTCAAGCTCCTATGTGGAACCGAACTCACAAGCGCACAGGATGAACTGTACCACAAGCTCAGACTTGACCGGAGTTGATAAAGTGTGATGGAGCCTCAAAGGGCAGTAATCGTGAACTGCATGGTGTTCAAGTCCAAGCTGTCAAACCGTGTTGTCCTGCCTACATCTCATACACGACGGTCGCAAGAACTTAACCTCGTTCATGAAGGCTCCGAGGGCACCCGTTTTTCCAATTTGCTGTACCGCAAGCTCAACCAAGCTGGTGAGTTTGCAGACCGAGAATGCCAATCGCATCCCCCGAAACCTCACCAGAATTAAGGTTGAAATGGAAGTAAACCACGGAAGATGGCTTTAGACTCTTCCATCTTTCCGCATTTATGTGGGCAGAACATGGGATGCCAGCGGGACCATCAAGACCTTTTCGGGCCTTTTGAGGACGTCTCAGGCCTTTTGATCGCGTCGCTCTAGTCAGCTGTGACATGGGGTGAGTAGCCGTCCTCCTTAAGACGGGATAATTCATGGACACCAGCACAGGTCTAGGCGGAGGACTCGCCCAGTCTAGGTTGACGCTATCTCTCTCAGGCTCTGGGCCGGAGCATTTGGAGGATGGCCAAGTCTTGGCGTCTTGGTGGGCACTACATGCTAACCCTGAAAATCCTTGAAGGCTTCAGTGAATGTCCAGGAGGTTTGCTTTGAGAGATGCGACTTTGCTATTTGGGCGGGGTGGCGTGTTTCCTTTTCGCCAAGGATCGATAACTACTCTCGGAACAATGCACGAACGGGCCCAGGGTGAAGACGGTTTCTGTACCCTTCCCTTTTGACATGAATGGAACAAGTATGATGATTGATTGAGTCTGATCTTTACCCAGTCCCCCGAAAGACCCCACGTGTTGCACACTCGGCCGGAGGTTTGCATCCAATGCTGAGGTGGTCCCATTGCGAAGCAAAAGCCGACAAGTCCGACAAAATGAGGCAGCATGAGCAGAGCAGTGACATGACTAGCGCCACACTTCCAACAAATCCAAATCTGAACAAGAACATTCCAATCAACAAGTCATATACTGAAATGGATGGTTCGCAGTTATTTGATGACGTAAGCTTGCAAGCCTTTTCCGGAGGTCTTGGAGACCAGCCTGTTTCACTTCTATTTGCACACAGGCAGGGCTGGTGATGGTGCGATCACGTCATTTGCTGACACCTCAATATGAATAAAGGGTGGCGAAATGATCAGAGGTGTTGGGGTATGGAGATGTGGTGGCGTTGGACAGTTGTGTTGTTTACCACCGACTGCATGTACATGACATGGTGAGCCACGCCATTGGCCCGACAGAGGTGTGGGTACTTGGCCTCCGAAGCCTATAGCCTTAGTTGGGCGAGGCGAGTGGGAGCAGATGATGGCCACTGAGGGCTTCCTGCGTTGCCAGTCCGAGGTATTAAGGGTCAGGATGAACTAGATACGGTAATACGGAGCACCACAGGCTTTGTGAGCATGCTGCTGATGTGGCCACGGTCCACGGTGATATTACCAGACAGGACTCTCTTCATGCCCAATGTTCAAGGGGCCACTTCATCACTTCCCTTTCTTGATGTCAATGAAGTTCCAATTTCTGCACCTTGAGAACAAGGCAACGGAAAGCCAGAAGAAGCACGGTGCTGAGAAATTGAGAGCAATGAATCCAGTTTCCACATAGAAAGCTTGTCATGATTGCACCCATTCTCCAAGGCTGTTCTACGAGCGTGGGTTCCGGACAAGCTGTGCCGGTGGCAAGTTTGAAAGGTTCAAGCTGGATCAAGTGAACTGTTAAGGGCCAAATCATAATGATTCAGAATGTCCAATTGCTCATAATATAAACATATATATGGGCACTCCAGGGGTGACTCTGACATCCTCCCGGACTGCTATGCCTGGCGCTGAAGCGAGGTGTGTTCTTGTGTTTCGGAAGCCTAAGCAACTTGTTAGAAGGAGGTCTGCCTTTTCGTCCACAGAATCTTGAATGTCACTGCCACTGGGTTGTTTGGCGATGGTCAAGTGTGGCAAGTCAAGTCCAATTGGTGCCAAGTTGTGACGTGTCCGTTTCCATTTGCAAAGGCACGCCGAAAAAGTGCGCAACATGTCATGTTTTTGCGATGCCGGCAGCAACCGAGGACCCTGCCTCTGGAATTGGGCGATGGAACTATCAGGCCAGTTGTTTGCATTCATGTCCTTTCACTGCCTTGTGCACATCCAACTGATCACGAAAGGTTGCTTCAGCAACCTTGAGTTTCATTAGCTTTAGCTTAGGACCCGGATCCTCCCACATGACCTAATTAAGAGTCACGAGAGGCGACTCTTCATCACAGAGGGGGCCCAACTCTCGTCTGTAAGAGCTGCGGCTGCGCTACTGCTTCGGTGTCGCTGTTTCGCTGCTGCTGCTGCTGCTGCCGTGCGGACTGCCGCCCTTGCTGCTGCTTGCTGGTGCATGTTGCGTAGCCGCTGTTGATTTTGCAGTTTGCTTGCTGCTGCTTTGCTGCTGCTTTTGCAGCTGCTTTGCTGCTGCCTGCTGTTGGCTTGTGGCTTGTTGTTGATACTTTACTGCTTTTGCCGCTGCTTTGCTGTTGTTGCTGCTGTTGCTGCTTCTGATGTTTTGCTGTTGCTGCTGCCTGCTGTTGGTCTTGGTCCTGCTTTGCTGCTGCTTTGCTGCTGCCTGCCGTTGGTTTGTTGCTCCTGCAGCTGCTGCTTTGCTGCTGCTGCTGCTGCTGCTGCTTTTCTGCTGCTGCTGCTGCTTTGCTGCTGCTGCTGCTTTTCTGCTGCTTTGCTGCTGCTGCTGCTGCTGCTTTTCTGCTGCTTTTCTGCTGCTGCTTTTTTGCTGCTGCTGCTTTTTTGCTGCTGCTGCTTTTTTGCTGCTGCTTTTTTGCTGCTGCTGCTGCTTTTTTGCTGCTGTTCTGCTGCTTTTTTGCTGCTTTTCTGCTTTTTTGCTGCTGCTGCTTTTTTGCTGCCTTTTTTTTGCTGCTTTTTTGCTGCTGCTTTTTTGCTGCTGCTGCTGCTGCTTTTTTGCTGCAGCTTTTTTGCTGCTGCTTTGCTGCTGCTTTGCTGCTGCTGCTTGGTGGTTTGCTGCTGCTGCTGCTGCTGCCTTTCGTCCACCCATTTATCTCAAGTGTAGACAAGGCAAACACTTCCGCCAGAACGGCACGAGTTTGTCACAATAGTAGATCCGTGTGCTTCATGCTGAAAGACTCAGGCTCGCTTGGGCGAGGGTGGCCTGGGCTCAAGCCTCAACTCCGGCACAAATGACCAGCCCTGGTGCCTGACCGATGTGGAAGCGGCCGAGGCATCGTCTACCGTGCTTACGATTGCCAGGGCAAACTGGGGCATGTTGCTATCAAGGCCACTGCCGGGCACGTTTGGGAGAGTCCGCAGAACAACAGGCGTGATGTATCGACAGCTATTGGAAACCTTTCAGAGGTGCTAAAGCATCCCCAGCGTGTTCAGCCCTGAGCAGTTTTTTGGTGAGCGAAGCTGGCCGGCCGAAAGGGTGATGGCATTACCCTGGCAATGCAGAGCAGTGATGAGTCAACCAGTGCAACGTCTTAAACTGGTGATGATTTCGGATGAGGCCTACTGGGGGAAACAACACTGTTTTGCAATGCACCGTGAGAGCCAGTGGCAGCATCCCTGGAAAGCTTGATTTTGTGTGGTTTCAGCATTTTTTTCAATATTTTTCAGCTTCATGTTCTCTGGAGGGGGGGTAGGACGGTGCAATTAATCAATGATTGCAGCCATTGGTTCAAGTATTTTGACGATACATTTTGCAGTTTGGTGAGGTCATTGCAGAAACTTCACAATACCGCTGATGGTCGATACTGTCGGGGAACTCGCAAATTTGGAAATCATAGGTTCGGGGCTGCATAGACCTGTTTGGACGGCGCTTCCAAATAGTTTGAACATCTCAAACGTCAGCTGAGGTGAACGTTCTGCCAAACTTTTTGCAAAGTACCTTGAGGACCTGCTTTCTCAATCTTGAAAGGGTTGTTCGATTTTCACCTCGTTTCATGCATTTCCTCGTTCCAGGATCACACCGGCTTGGTGCAAGTCAGCCCAGGCATGAACAACTCATGTTGTTTGTTCAGTGAATTCGCTTTGATCATTTTTGCTATGAAGAACCAACAGCCAAAGATACGTGGACCTATTTGTGGTCGGAGGTGTTTGTTCCGTTTGGTGGTGGTGGTGGTGGTGGTAGATTCGGAAAATACCAGAAATTTCTCGAAAGAGACACATTCCGGACAGGCAGCTTTGATGAGCGCCGAAAGCGCTTTGAGACACCAGGACCTTTGTTTTCGGCATCCCCTTGTTTAAATTGAAACATCGAAGATGCTGCTGGGCCGTCCAAGAGACTTGCAGATTGATGCGAACAACATTGATTGGCGGGATGAAGTTTCGTCCTTCAGTTTAAAGGTTCGACCTTGAAGTCTTTCTACTTGTGAGTTCACAGGACTGGACTGGGAGAAGGATGGGCCAGAGCCTCAGGACAATGTTGAAAACCTGAAGGCAGCAGAGTGGGTGGGTGATCTTGGGTTTGAACAGTCCGGGTTTGGTTGCACTTTGCAAGTTGCAATGTTGGTCTCAAAGAATGCAGTTGAAACAACAAAGAATGCTCTTTGCGGGCGCCGTCTCCAAGCAACACTTTTTCAGCTATAGTA